AAATTATTTCAAAAATTTGAGCCGGAAAAAAAATGACGTGAAAATAACGGAACTCACCCAAAGTCTTCCGTTCATGTTAGCAGTAAAAAGCACGACTCCAAATAGAAAATAATTTATGAAAAGTAAGTTGAGATTGGCCAAAATTTGTAAATACAATTGGCACGGAATTGATTTGTCTCTTTTTCTATTAATGAATTATTACTATTTTTTTCATTAACTTCAGCACAATGTTTTATAACAGGTTATGTATGTGTTTGGTATTGAATATCAAGCAAAATATTGGCCGAATATTATTTGGAAGGTGCACGTTGCCGGGAATGTTATAAATCTCTCAATGTGACCGATAAGATGAAATAATTTTGATAGTTTAGTGCTTAACATTCTTGTGGCCCTTAATTTTCTATATATGTGCGCTTTCGGTGCTTTTCTTATGTCTGCATTCGTTGACCCAATTGAATGTGTGTAGGCAACGCGTTTGATTGTATATGTTTGATATGTTTAGACGGCATTGTTAAAGGCAAATAGGGAATTAAATGGAACGCGCATGTACAAAATTGACAGCTGATTTTGTGTCCAACGTCAACAAAAGAAGCATGTAAGCGAACAATTGAATTGCTACTGTCAATGTTAACACACATTGTGATTCAAAGCCAGAGTTTTAGGTTAAGAATAAACCGATGCTATGTTTGCCATCAAAAAATTTAAACTGTTGAATAAACTAGTGGTTAAAAATCAGTTACGATCGCTAGGTATATGTGTGCCATGTGCCTTTTGTTTCATTCAAATATATCAGCTATTTTTCTCGCAATTAATTTAACATTCGGAATTTGATGAAAATTATACATTTTCATTGGATTTTCTTTTAGATATTCGGCAGAAATCAAATTCTCCAAGAAAGATGAGTAAAATTGTGTGGATTGATATGGAAATGACCGGCTTAAACTTGCACAAAGATCGTATAATGGAAATAGCATGTTTAATAACCGATAATTCATTGAATGTGGTGGCTGAACATCCAACAGTTGTTATAAATCAACCAGATTCTCTGCTTGATTCAATGGATGAATGGTGCACAACAACGCACACTCAGGTACATTTATCGATCTTTTCAAAAAGCAATACACTGCATAACTGTGTGAACCATTCCATAAGACAACTATGTGCATGTAAAATGAGTTTTCTTTAATTAAAAAGTTCAAATGTTAACATGTCAACATGATTTTGGAAAATTTAACTGAAAATGCTTAATCATTTTTGTTTGTTTTTTTCATTATAGACTGGCCTGCTGGCGGAATGCAAAAATTCGAAAGTCACAGAAAAACAGGCCGAGGATTTAATACTGAATTTTCTTAATGAAAACAACATTAAATCGTTTTCGAGCCCATTGGCCGGCAATAGTGTGTACATGGATCGTATGTTTCTTAGAGAATATATGCCACGGATCGATTCGCATCTTCATTATCGTATCATTGATGTATCAACGATAAAAGAGCTCTGCAAACGATGGAATGGTTCATTATTTTCGAATGTACCATCAAAAAAGAACGTGCATCGAGGTCTGAGTGATATCGAGGAGTCAATCAATGAACTGAAGTATTATAAGCAATTCATGTTTTTGCCAGAATAATCTCAAATATGTAGTCTATTATCATCAGTTATCAAGCACTCACCAATTTTACCAATTCAAAATAATGAATGCGTTTAATACCAATTGTATCTACTATAAAAGAAACCAATTATAGATAAAGACATATTCCAGTTTTAATATATGCGTCGTATTATTTCATCTGTACAAAATAAGCAAGTAATAACGCACAATCAATACAATTAATCATTTGATTTTTCATCACATAACAATGCAGTACGATTTTATTGGATTTATCGCAGCTATATTGATTGCTGGCGGTGGTGCATATGGATATTTCAAATCTGGTAGGAAAGAATTTGGAAAGAAACATTTCTTTTACTATTTTGTTAAATTTCTCTTTTTGTGTGTGTGTGTGTGTTTTCAAAGGCTCCGTCGCATCAATTGTTGCTGGTCTGATCTTTGCAATTCTTTTGGGTAAGTTTAAATTGAGCAATTAGTAATATTATTTTAACATTCAACATTATAAAAACTGCATTTTTAGCTATTGGTGCATATTTAAATTCACGTTCGGGATCGCCACCAAAGCCTCTTCTTGAATTTTGTAAGTACAAGATCCCATTGAACTTTTTTTTTCTATTATTGAAAAAAAAAAAAAACATTTTTCCTAATGGAAAATTCTAGGTGTGCTCTTAATTTTGGCCGGATTAATGGGATATCGTTGGTATAATGGATCATTTGTACCAGCTGGAATTGTGACTTGCATTGCCGCTGGAGCCTTTGTAATTAACATGTTCATTTATTACGATGATCTTCACGCACAACTTTTCTAAAAAATTATATTTCTTTTAGATATTTCGATTTTTATACAATAAATATATTCAAATAAAAAGAGTGCCAAAAGCGATTAATTCATGTGTATTTGATATTGTACAAATACTTGTTGACATTTGTTTTTTATATAGATATACTATTTCTATGTATTAGTAAACAACAGAGTTATAGCAAGATGACATTTCGTCTATTAATGTTTGACATTTTGGTTTGACCTGTTGTGAATAAAATCCAGAAAAATGCCCGTCGATTTGATCAGCTATTTATATGCGGCCACAGTTGCTGCCGGAGGAATTGCTGGCTACGTTAAAGCTGGTATTATTTTAGTTAAATCAATAACCTTACAATTTATTATAACAATAAACTTATTTTGTTGTTGTTTAAGGTTCGATACCATCTCTCTCCGCTGGATTGGCGTTTGGTGCAATTTTGGGTAAGAATTGCAGCGATGCACCCACTTTATAATTTTATATTTATTTTTGTTTTTCATTTTAACAAGAATATTTCATTTGAATCGATTTTTCATTTAATTAGGTTATGGTGCGCACTTGAATTCACAGAGCCCACCGAAACCACTATTCCAATTGGGTGAGTGTGCAATTTATTTAAAAATGGTTTTCAAATTCATTGTTGCGGCAATTTATTTACATGTAATTTTATTGTTATAGGTGCATCATTAACACTGGCAGGAATAATGTACATGCGTTACGCGAAGAGTGGAAAAATTATGCCGGCTGGTGTGATCTGCTTGCTTTCAGCTGCTTCATTCGTTCGCAATGTGATTGTTTACAATCAACATCTTCCAGTTATTGGTCGAGGCCAATGGTAGACGCGTAAAACATTTGCATTTTAACCGGAAAATAAAACTTTATATTTTATGGGAATAAGAGATTTTTTAATTCCATCGCCCATGAATATTTTTTTACACCAAACTCTGTAGACTTTTCATAGCTAAAATAAATAAGGGTGCCCTCCTTCTACTAGTACCCCTAATTTTCATTGGAAATTTTCCAGACTTTCAGAATCCTTTTTTTTTGCAAAACGATTTTAAACCTTGATGATACATCAAGCCATAGAAGAAAAAAACTCAAGTCCTTTTTTTTCTTGCAAAAACCAATTCAATACTTCTATTTTGATTTACAACTTTATTCAGCAAAGAAAGTTTTCCCAGAACTATGTAGTTCTTGCAGTACCTTATCATTTTAATTTAGATCAATGAAGGGAACCAATGTGAATAGCTAAGACCGGAGTCTCTGTGTAAGATGCGGCTTCGGCTGGAAGATATATGAGCATCGCCGGTATCATTAACAGTCACGTTTGTGCCGGTGCAGATGCCGCCATCTCATTCACCAGAGATAATATCACAATACACTCCAGCTGGCAATTTTGTATTCAAAACTTTATCATTTGTTCTGTATTCCTTATTGAATGCGATGAACGCGCGATTTGTTTCCCTTCATTATCATACCACATTTCAATTGGTTCTTCATCAGCAGCAACGCGAAAGGAAACCATTTTTTTAATTTCAGGGCACACCCATCCATTTCCGCATTTCCAATCGTCGTCATTATAGGTGACAACATATTTTCTTGTTTATCTTGCGGAGGACCCTGACTGTTGTCAGAAAATTCGAATGAGCTCATTATGTGAACATTGCCATAAGGATGTGCCAAAGCAAATGCACTTGCCATAAAATACCAATTTTTTTTTATTTTAAACATTTTGATACGTCAGAACTTCGCCGTCAGAGAGGCTCCAAGTGTCGTGATTGTCAACGAAAACCAAAGCATCCTTAATTACGTGATCAATTTCTCCCAAATGCCAAATGTCGTAGGTTATTCAATTCCCTCCAACCTTGAAATGCTCTGCCAATTACGGAAGAAAAACCAAAATCGATAACTGCACCCTAAAATTGAAAAGGTAAGGTCAAATATTTTTTTATTATTTTTTTTTTACTTATACAATAAACGGTCTTGTACAATAAACGGTCTTGATTTTTTTTCGAATGCATGTTCAAGGTTCAAATTTTTGACACCGTCATAAATGCTTTTCAAATTATCTGGCCACATATAGTTTGCGGAATCTACAAGTTTTTATAAAAAGAAAATATTCTGTAAGCTTTCTCTTACCTACATGGAAAACAGCTATCCCGAAATCAATAAAATCATTTAGTAAATGAATAATTTTACGCTGAACGTATTCATTCGTTTGATTTAAATCACGTAAACCGTTAATTTGACAATTGCGAACTTCATATTTATCTTTAGGGTTGGAAATTTCACACACTGGTTTATGAAGTCGCTCGGCCTGAATGATAAACCTGGATCTGTGCGTGATCCTCCAGTTCCAACACTTAGTCCCATGACTTCAGTCATATGGTTGAGAACAACATCAATATAGATACACACAACAACAGCATTACAGCGTCGTACCATTTTAGCAAATTCCATTACGCGTTTTATGCCGATAAGAAATTGGCTGATAGCGTTCAAACCTACGGGAATTCGTGTGATTTTTAACCTTTACTCAAGAGTTTTTTACCTGAACACCAGCAAACCTATTTGGACCTAAAAATCGTTCACATTCATTGTCAATATCAGTCCATTTCCATTCGAATAAACGAACGATTACACTTCGACCGGGTGCAAAATGTGGATCTTTATAGCGGTCGTCTGTAAAGCTCACTACAACAAGCATGTGAACTACAAATAATTTTTGAAATGCTATCTTTTTCGGCCACATATTTTCACTTTCTATCGTAGTTTCTCATACAAACTGTTGAGACACAACGTGGCTGTTGAAAAATGGTTTTTGACACAAAACTGTAAGCTATCCAGAGAGCTAATGAATAAGATTAATTTGCATATGTATACATGAAAAAGAGAGATAGAGAGTTTGGAACCATGTTGTATTCCTTTTCCGTCATTTGTGAATACACCTGGTTACATAACAACAGAATGAATGTTTCTAAATATTTACCCTGTAGAAGAAGACATCATAAAAATAAATAAGAAATAAGGGGGTTTTGTAAAAAAAACTATGCAAAGTTTCACATCACATACAGTAAAGTTATTTCGTCGTCCTACCGATATGCAATTTTCAACGCCGACAAAGAAGCATCTGGAACTCGAAACGACCGATAAAGAAATATGTGGTTTGCCCATAAAATATTCGTTTAGTGTCAAGAGAGCAACGCTTATTCTAAACATGGCAACCAATTTCTCTAAACAACAAAATCGAGGAAGCTACCGAAGCACAACCATCGCTCATAATTGCGTAGAATCGTGATATTGCTAATTTGCATTAAAAGTCTTATGAAGTAGCCGAACAACGTGTTGCTATATCAATCAATATAGTTGATAGAAAAGAACTGTTAAATTTTTATTCGAGAACGCTTTGTTGACAATTCGCTATGTATTTTGTTAGATTTTAAATGGAACAGAAATTGTTGTACAAAATTAAATAGATGTTTTTTTTTTTTTGAAATCATTTATGAATGTTTACTCTTCGTTTTCTGTGCCATCGCTTGGTTCTTGAAGACTTGATTCATCATGTGCCGTTGAACCGTTCACTTCATCCATTTCTTCTTCGGTATTGGCATCATTATTTGTTTTACTATCATTGGTTTTACTAGATTTCTTCTCTTTGATTGTTTTTCGGAATGAATCGAGTGCTTCGCGCAGTGGATCAATAAAATTTTCAAATTCAATCTCTTCCAGTGCCGCAAACACATTATCCGATGACAATGATTTGTGCTTTTGTTTCCGTGCGGCAGCTGCTGTTGACGATGTCAAATAAATTACTGTGGAAAATGTTAAATAAAAATCAAACCATAAGTGACTTGTTTTCTAAATTGTTCTCAGTTATTGTCGCAGAGTTGAACACTTCTATTCCTTCGTGTTTGTATAAATGTAAGTACTCACTGAAAATAGATGCAGCTCTAGCAATTGCGGATCGTGCCTCTTTTCCAACATTAATTCCATCGGGCAAAGCATCCTTAATTAGTCGAGTTACAACCGTGGCTGGTAAATTGAGATCTTGAATTTTATCCACCATTTTACTTGGATTCGCCTATCTACAAATTCCAAAGAAATTGATTTGAAACGAACCGACTAATGAAAACAAATTCAATTCGTGTTAAATGTGTAGTGATATTTGTAAAACTGTTTGTTGTTGGCGGGAAACAGCACTTCTGAATTGTCAAATTAATACCGCTGTACTAGATTATTCTGATGTGCGGTAGTCAATTCGAATATCATTTTTTTTTTTGAATATTCCTTATAAAATAATATTATTATTGTTAAAGTTCAAAGAGAACATCGTTTTCTTAATTATTTTACTATAGTTATTCCGAATCGTTTGCCAAGTGAACTTTACAGAAAACGTATTAGATTTTCGAAACATAAAATTCATAGTTCTAATATACAAACGTCATTTAGTATTACAATAGTAAACAATGCTATTTCAATCAGCTGCATCAATTTATCAAAAAATCAAGCAAAACAAATCAAGCGTCGTTCACAAAATAGCGCCAAAGTTAGTCGATCAGTGTATTAGAAAAATTATGGCTCCGCCGACGAAAAAATCAAAAACCGAAGAAGAAACAAATGAATCAGAATTTTTGAGCATATTTGAAGATGATCGAAAAAAAGCAGCGAAAAATATTCTCGATTTCAAATTCAATAAATCAAGAGTACGTATTTTGAACAAGCAAAATGACGTGAAGCAAAATTCAAATGGAATCATTTACTGGATGTTTCGAGATCAGCGTGTTCAAGACAATTGGGCATTTTTATTTGCACAAAAGTTAGCAATGAAAAATCAAGTACCACTTCATGTGTGTTTTTGTTTATTGCCAAAGTTTCTCGATGCAAATACACGCCATTACAAATTTCTTGGTAATTTGCATCTCATTAACAAATCACTTATAATTTCAATATGGAGAGAGGTGAACATCAATAATCCGGTCTGTTTTATTTTTTTCACTCTAGTAAAAGGTTTGCAAGAAATTGAAGAAGAATGTAATACGCTGGACATAAATTTCCATTTATTTTATGGTGACGGTGGTACTGAAGTACCGAAATTCGTGCAAAAAAGTTCAATGGGAGCGGTTGTTTGTGATTTTTGCCCATTACGTGTACCAATGCAATGGATTGAAAATCTTAAGAAAAGTATACCAGCTGATATTCCGATTATCCAAGTGGACGCACACAACATTGTACCCGTTTGGGTTACATCGGACAAACAAGAATATGCCGCACGCACCATTCGAAATAAAATAGTCAGCAAATTGAGCGATTATTTAACCGAATTTCCACCATTGGTGAAGCATCCACACAAAAGTGAATTAAAATATTCAAAACCAGACTGGATCAATTGCTGGAAACATGTTGATATTAAAGAACTGCCAGAAATAACATGGGCAACACCCGGCTACAAAGGTGGCATCAAACAGCTGGAAATTTTCTGTTTGAAACGTTTGAAGGATTATGCTACAAAGCGAAATGATCCAACGTTGAATTTTTTATCCGATCTTTCGCCATGGTTTCATTTCGGTGAGTCTTCATTCCTCGAAACTAATTGAAATTAAATTTATTTTATACATATTTCTGTCTCAAGGTCAAATTGCACCGCAGCGAGCCATTCTACAGGTGTCGAAATATAAAAAATTTAAAGAAAGCGTCGAAGCATTTCGCGAAGAAGCCATCGTTCGTCGTGAACTCGCAGACAATTTTTGCTTTTTTAATGAACACTATGATTCGTTGAAAGGTTGCACATCGTGGGCACAAAAAACGCTCAATGACCATCGCAAAGATAAGCGAGAATGGACTTATACGGTGGAAGAATTTGAACAAGCAAAAACGCACGATGATCTGTGGAATTCAGCGCAAATCCAACTCAATAAAGAGGGAAAAATGCACGGTTTTCTTCGAATGTATTGGGCCAAGAAGATTTTGGAGTGGTCAGAATCTCCGGAAAGTGCACTTACCACAGCTATCTATTTGAATGATTATTACAGCATGGATGGTATGTGTTAATCGTACACTGTAGGAAACTATTTGAATCAAATTGTCATTGTTTTAATAATGGTTCGCAGGAAGAGACCCAAATGGTTACGTAGGATGTATGTGGTCTATTGGAGGTGATACAAAAAATTGTCCACTATTTGAGAATCGAAAAAAAAAATTAAATATTTTCCTTTTGCGATTTTTCTATATAGGAATCCATGATCAAGGCTGGACAGAACGGGCAATTTTCGGAAAAATCAGATACATGAACTATGCAGGATGTAAAAGAAAATTTGATGTGAATGCATTCGTCGCTCGTTACGGAGGAAAAGTCCATCAAAAATCCAAAAAATAAACTGCACAAAGCTGATCTCACATTACCAGTGAGCTAAAACTTAAAATAAGTTATCATGAGAAAGTACCTTTAACACACTTAAAGATTCATTTTTATGGACTTGATGAATTTTCAGATTTGGTTTGAATAATAAAGTTGTCATTAATAAATATTTTCATTTCTTGAAAGTGCTTCACTCTATCTAGATGTTTGTTTGTCAACGGTGTTTTACAATTTATAATACGTTGCAAACAGAAAACCCGAAATCTCCATATTCAATTCAATGTATGAAATTGGTAAATGAAAGACCAATTTATTCAATCGCCGAGAACTGTTAATAATCCGATTAACACTGTAAGCATTTGTTGTGCAAAAATACATCGGCAACGATCTAACTCACAAAAAAATATGTGGTGAATCATCGGTATGTTGAACTACTACTACACTTTTGTTAAAAAAATTTATCGTAACACCACACCAACACATCGATGCCTCTATGGAATTACTCATACGCATGACATTCACACGGTTGTTTGTGTATATAGTATAGTTGTTGCCGCAGAGCAAGTTCAAGAGTTGCTTACACTCCGTAAGACTTTTGTATATTTTACGATGGGCTTCTTTTAAATCGATCGTGCACCTCATAGTCATTATCATATTCAATCACTACCGACGACTGCAACATCGTGTATTTGTGATATTTTTTTTCCTTGTACGTTTTGTTCTACATAACTGCAGCCAGTTCAAATCGACAAATTAAATAAAAAAATAAGATATATATGCATGTATAAATGTTATATATATTCAATGAGAAAACCTGAAACACAAACAAATTAAAAAGAAACGACGTGAAAAAGAATTCTCTAATCAACGAAGATAAGGTGTAAATAAACGAATGCATTGTTTGTTCTTCATTCCGCGTTTTTAGAAACAAAAACAACAACATGGAAAACCGAAATGTAAGTGGAACTAAACGAGACTATATTTCTCATAATTTTGCATATTTTTTTTATCACAAAAATGTATTGAAAGATTTAAATTATGTGTAATTCATTTAAAATTGAATGTGTGCGCGTCATTGAGTCATTGTTGTTGTGATTCTTTTGAAATTCATCTCTGAACGAATAGAGAATTTAGTGGAAAAAAAAAACTATTTATTAGGAAAAAATATTTAAAAAAAAAAATTGTTTTCATTTGGTGTTTTAGCAATATCAAAATATAGCTACAATGAGTATGCTCAAAAATGCCGTCGGGCCAATGCAACCAAAATATTCGGAACAACACCGTCGCTTGTCATCGACACCCTTACAATTGAACATTGATGCACAACAAAGTCAATATAATGAAGATTTGCTGCCACCACCCAGCCCGGTCAGCTCATCGTATAGTGAACTGAGACGGGCTACTGAAAATCCATACCCAACAATGCCAATTTATCCATCAACATCACAACATCCACCACAACACACATATGCAAATATATACCAATCCGATTATACGTATGCTTCCAGTCTTAGGCAAATTTATCGGTGAGTCATATGTTATAGTATACAGTAATACATAGTTGTAACCACTAAATAAAAACAAAATATTTTTCTCTCATTTATCCATTCATGTTTTTTTTCTCCCATCTAATAGAACGCCCGAATCTGTGGATCAAACGCAAATATCATCGCCATATGAATCAATCTACGAACCGATCAATTCACGTCCGCCAAGCCAAATGTCCAATCGCTCTAATTATCCATCGTATTCGTCTTCGTCATCGGCCTACGTGAACGGTGGCCGAAGTAGTAACAGTAGCATTAGTGGAAGTAATCTTCATTTAGCATCACCGAAAAATCCAACGAATAATTCAATGATTCCGGGAGTGGGAGTGGGAGCGGGAGCGGGTGGCGGTAAAAATTTTCGTGAAGCTGAAGTTGATGTCTTAACTGAGCTATTAGTTCAGTCGATGAATATGGGCGCTGATACGGATAGTTTTGGCATTTGTGTGCAATGTGGTAAAAAGGTGATTGGCGAAGGATCCGGTTGTACGGCCATGGAGCAAATTTATCACATCGAATGCTTTACGTGCTGCCAATGCCAAATTAATTTGCAGGGAAAACCATTTTATGCTCTGGATGGAAAACCGTGCTGTGAGGAGGACTATTTGAATACCCTTGAAAAATGTTCGGTGTGTGTTAAACCAATATTGGAGCGAATTCTACGTGCCAATGGAAAACCATATCATCCAAAATGTTTCTGTTGTGTTGTATGTGGAAAAAGTTTAGATGGTGTTCCATTTACCGTTGATGCTACCAATCAAAATCATTGCATTGAAGATTTCCATAAGTAAGTGTCAACATTATTTTGTTTTGATTTCTCATTGTGTTTTTTTCAACATGTTTTATGTTTAATATGTTGTTGCAGGAAATTCGCGCCACGTTGCTGCGTTTGCAAGTTACCAATAATGCCGGAACCGGGAGAAGATGAAACTGTTCGTGTCGTTGCATTGGATCGAAGCTTTCACGTTGAATGTTATAAATGTGAAGTGAGTTTTGAAAACATTTCCATACAACAAAAATGTTTGTGTCACAATGAATTTGTTTTATGTTTATTTTCATTGTTTCTTTTTTTTTTTAATTCCATTTCTTAGGACTGCGATATGCTGTTGTCAAGTGAAGCTGAAGGTCGAGGGTGTTATCCACTTGACGATCATATATTGTGCAAGGCATGCAATGCAAAGCGCGTCCAAATGCTGACTAGTCGCATGACCACTGAATTATAATAATGCATTCCACGCACACAAGTTTATACATTTTACAAAATCTAAAACAAATTAAATTACTTCTTTCGCGAAAAGAAACAAAAAACTATTCCATACAAAAAAAATTATGCTTATTAAACAAACTTGAATATTTGATATATATGTATACACACATCGAATGGAGTATTATAAATGTGATGATTCAAAATTTAGAGTAATAATGATGTATTGAGAAAAATGGCAAAACCATAACAAAAACAAGGTACTCAACAACGCACAAATCACGTCAATAACCTCCAATGTATTTCAATAATATTCGTAAAAATATATGTATTGTGTACACAAATAATTACATCTTGTATATTGATTAAACTACCGAATGATTTTTTATTTTCTCATTTATGCACTTGACTGACATTAAAGACTTCTGTGCGCGTCTTGTAAAAAATATTCAGTAAAATCTTTCACTCAGAAATGACGAATTGGCAAAAACATATGTGATACAAATGGACATATAATTTCACGATGTAAAATTATATTACAACTTGTACAAAAGCCATATGACATTTTCCTAGAAGAATTTAGACTTGGCTAAGATTTTACGGTATTCATTTGCTTCTGCTGTTCGTTCCTCGACTGAGCGGAAGCTACGACGTTCGCCGTCCTTAGGATGGTCATGTTTATTCAATTCAATATAGATTTCGTCATTGTGTTTAAAGTCACCTTCTTTCCGAGGCATAACATGACAGTGCACATGCTACAATCAGTTTAATAAAAAGGCAGAGAGATTATTTTTTTTATTGTAATTGTTCATACACAGAGAGGTTATTAAAAGACAAAAAAAAAGTGCTTCACTTACCCGAACAGTTTGTCCAGCAAATTCACCATCTTGCACGGTCACCGTGCATGATGTTGTTTTGTAATATTCCTCAAGCATTCGCTGACATTTACACACGGCCATGAAGAAATCAACAATCTCTTCGGGCGTTAAATCCTTTAGCCGACTAACACAACGTCGTGTCGCCACCAAAATATCTAGTGCATTAAAAAATAATGTCTACATTTCAAAATTCGATAAAACATTACAAAATTAATCCAGGATTAGAAGCTTACGGCCAGTTACGACGCAACTGATATTTGTAAATGCAATACTCGATGGTGTTTCAAGAAATGTGGTTGATTTTGGAATCGGATTTTTCTCGAAAATAAAATATGGAGATTTTTCATTCTCAACCGTCAGAAATTCAGAATCTTTTGTGCACACTGATTTATCAGCTGGAATCATGCAATGTGGTGCCAATGTATAGACCTCATCACGACGATGACTGAAACATGGCATCCGTTTACGCGTATCATTTAGTAGATCCAATGAAATGCTTGCTGTTATACATTGTGGAACAGATGCATCGTCTTTATCGCATTCAGCCAAAATTTTACCCCATGGATCAACAATCTATAAATGAAGAAAGGATAAATTTATTTCATCTCTTCTGAATATACTCTATATAAATATGTACCATTCCATGTCCAAAGCTTCTGCGTTTTTCATTGTGGTAACCAATTTGCGTGGCCGCAAATACATAACACTGATTTTCAATGGCACGCGCTCGTAACAGAGATTCCCAATGAGCCAAACCGGTTGCATATGCAAATGCCGATGGATAGGTTAAGTAAGTGGCACCATTTTTACGTAAAATCGTACTAGCTTCGGGAAAACGTAAATCGTAACACTGGTTAAGGATAACATTTGGATTAGTTTCTGTTTTGAATGCATAAATCAAAGTTGTCTTACTATTAACAATCCAAGGCCACCCTGAAGCGGTGTATCCGTTAGAGGAGATACAAGGTTGTTTCCACTGCTAATCACTTTTGATTCCTGAAATCGAAATTCTGATGTTTCCACATCGAATAAATGTAGCTTTCGATAAACGGCAACCAATTCGCCCGCATTATTGATCACAATATGTGAATTATGCATTTTGTCTGTTTTTTCATTGTTCTAAAAGAA